AACAGCGTTGTAGTCGTGCAAAACAACTTCAAGGGAAAGACAAAAAAGCGTGCTGCACGTGCAAATTTGTTTTTTGCTAATTAGAAGAAAAAGTTTGCTGCGCGTGGAATTTGTTTTTTTCCTAATTAGACCTATTAGTCTTGAAGCCATTTTCATTGTCGTCTCCGTTTAGCATTACACGATTTAATTTTTTTTGTTTACACGTATTATAAACCGGAGCTTCGCTTTTAGCCCTTGCTAAATCTATATATTATGAAACATGTTGTGTTTATGTCACTATGGCCCCGCACTATTAAGATTTTGATTTCCAACTAACCACGGACGCGAAAATTCAGCCAGTTACTTAAAAATAAAGGCGGGAAAGACCTTTTCTTACCCAGGTCAACATGTTGGTCACGCTCTACGTCCAATTGTTATGCTCTGATTGGTCAAAATTTGACAGATGACTTCATGCGGAAAATTTGTCATCCTGCATCTTAAAACTTGTTTACTTTGACAGCTGAAGCTGACAGAGTTTTGTGTCAACAGGTGATGTTTTTAACTGTCTTTTTCCACTGGATGTACAAAATGAAATACAGCTGCCATCAAGAGTCGCCGGTTATTCATTGCTAGTTTGTTTATTGATTTTTTGGTTGAGGGATGCGTCGCTTGCCAAGGTCGGAAATCCGATTTCGGATGGCATCATTTTCCTATTTCGCCTTGCCTGATGCGTATTAAAGAGGGTTCAAAATTTTCCACAGGCGGCCCAGACGGTGTATGTGTCACTGAATGAATATATTAATATTCACATGGACAAATTAATGCGATGAGTCGTCGAGACTCCAGTGAACTAAAATAGCCCAAAAATCAAAATATAACAAAATAAAGCTAAGATACCTTTAACTGAACGTATCCTTGTATTTCCTGGCCCGTTAAAGTGGCATTTTGTTGAGTTTTGCAATTGTAGGTACTATCCACTAAAGTCACTAAAGAAGAATTAAAGGCTGGCTACAAAACAAGCGGACCATCTCCACGCGCCTTCACGCGAAGCGCTATAAATTCGAGAATAATCGACGAATCCGCTCCAAATTGCCATCGGCTAATTTGCAGGTAACGTGTGCTCCGGTTCCTTGCTCGCTTGCTCCACAAAACCCATCGCAACTGCACAAGAATCGCTCGCTCATCAACAAACACTGTTGACCTTTACGCTTCGATATGACCGCAAACTACTAGGTATAATACGCGACGTGAATATTCAAGCTTAGCGACCACGTCCGCGCGACAATGCAACACTTGCAATGGGAGGGATGGTACTATTGCTTAGGCTAAGATAGCTGAGTAAAAGTCAGCTATCTCAGCTGGATACCCAGTAGCTTGCAACATTTCCTATTCCGTTAATCTCTGATCGCATTTCGCATCTACTATGATAGAGGCGTCAATTTTCACGCATTCATGTCATCATCCTGGGGCGACAAATAAAATTAATTAAAAGTGCGGTATCAAATAAAATGTACGGAAAAAATAATTCAGTGCCTTCTAAAAAAAACATTTTAAAGTCTGCGGTCGATCTCATTGCCAACAAAGGCAAGAACGATTAAATATCTATAGTTCAATATTACCCAATTTCACTAGTGCTCCCCTTATTGTAGTTCGATGGTGTGTAGCCGTATACACCGTATTCATAAATGGCGGCCGCGCGGAACGACCTGGTTTCGAATGCTTGAAAACGAGGCTTGGTAGGCTATAGAATCCTTGTAGAGCACTTAGACTTGTATTACAAATCGCCTATGCTATCAAAATTTCTCAGAAGCGTCGTTGAAACCGTGGATATTTTGGAATATAACTGGATAAAAAGGTTCGTCAAGTTTCCGAACAGGATATCTTTGCGTTATAAGTACGAAATCCGTCGTGGAGAGGTTGTGAGATGCCGACAAGTTGCTGTGTACCGCTCTGTACAAAGAAGGACAAACGAGACAAAGAGACGGGCGAAAAGATTTCTTTTTTTCGCTTTCCAGAAGACGAAGACCTTATGAAGCAATGGATCCATGCTATCAGGAGAGATGTTGGGCCGTATTTTTCCGTAAATGAGGGAACCCGGGTTTGTTCGAGACATTTCAAGACGGAGGATTTGCGTAAAAGTCTGAACGGCAGGGTTAGCCCCAAACCAGGAGCTGTGCCAAGCGTATTTGCATGGAAACGAAGTTCGCCGAGAAAACGAGCACCGCCGACACCACGCTTCACGGCTACATCTGTGGCAAAGAATTTAACGTCAGAAGCTAGTGAGGCTACGGATTTGGCAGCCGAAAGCCGTGAAATTGCAACGTCAACAAATATGGCGGCCGACTTGGCCTTTCCGGAAACAGCGGAAATGCAAAACACGACACATTTTGCCGAGAAATCTGAGAAAGATTTATTGATAGCTGACCTTGAAGACAAGCTTTCCGCAGCTCTAGCGAAGAATGAAGAACTACAGGAACTGGTTTCTAAACTGAAAGAGAAAGTTACAGATCTTGAGGAGAAATACGAGAAACTTGAGGAGCGGTTGTTTTCATTTAAAAACATCGCCTCACAGGACTCACTGGTGGCATTTTACACTGGATTTCCAAACCTCCAGACAATGATGGCCTTGTACCACTATTTGGATCCTGGTGACAGGGGTGAAAATATTAGTTATTGGTTGTCTGGGAAAGATGTCGATGGCACTGCCAGGCCAGTGAAACAAGGACGACCAAGGACCTTAAAGCCAGTGGACGAGTTTTTTCTAACATTGTGTAGGCTGAGGCAAGGTTTTGCCGAGTTGCATTTAGCTCACTTGTTTAATGTCTCTCAGCCAACTGTGAGTAGAATTTTTATCTCTTGGATAAATTTTTTGTATTTCAAACTTGGCAACATAAATATCTGGCCTTCCAGAGAACTAGTCAATGAGACAATGCCAGAAGATTTTAAGGCCAAGTATCCAACCACAAGGGTAATCATTGACTGCACAGAAGTGCGTTGTGAAATGCCGAGTAGCCTTCTTTTAAATAGTGAGCTGTTTAGTTCATACAAGCACCATACAACTTTAAAGGCATTAGTGGGAATTTCACCAAAAGGGTTTTTTACCTTTATTGGGCAACTATATACTGGCAGCATATCCGACAGGGAAATGGTAGAACGCAGTGGCTTCTTGAGCCTTCCCTTTTCAAAAGGAGACACTGTGATGGCTGACAAGGGTTTCACGATTGAAGACATACTTCCCCTAGGAGTCTCTTTAAACATTCCCCCTTTCCTGGGAATGTCTGATCAGATGTCAGCTGAAGATGTGATAGCAACACAAGAAATTGCTAGTTTGCGTATCCATGTGGAAAGAGCTATCAACAAGGTGAAGAATTTTCTCATCTTTGATGGAGTTATTCCATTAAGCCAGTTTGGGGTAATAAATCAAATGTGGTGTGTTTGTGCAATGTTGTGCAATATGCAGGATCCAATCATTAGTGCCTAAAGTGGCTTGACACAGTTTCCAGCACTTTCTGATATGTAGATATCGATATGGTAACCTATTGTGCCACAAAATTAACAGCAACTTACTCAACAATAACTGGGCAGTTTTTTTATACCATGAGTTTGACATCAACTGAGATAAAGTAGTTCTAAATATGACTCATCAAAATCTATGTCTTGGAAATTAGTGAAAACTGTTTCTAGCCATCTTGAATTAGTCCAAAACATGGAACAGCATGAAACATAAAAATATCCCACATTGCCAACACCCTCACCCACTCTGTAGCTTAACATTGACAGATACATTTATTATTTTGATACAGTTAATTTTGTGGACATTTCCTTAGTTTTTATTGATTATGTCAGAGACATTGTGCTAACTGGAAAATCCCTATATGGTTTGACAATCAAAATTGTGCTTACTACACAACTTTTGCTTACATTAGCTGTGGTTGAAGAAGGCAGCTTTACCTATATAAATTTGAGGTTTGCCTGAGAAAAGTGACATTTTCCCATCTAGTTGAATTTACTCTTTAAAAACCTACTAAGGCAAAATATTTTTCAAGGTCAGAAAAGGGAACTGCCCCGAACAAAAACTTTTGTTGACTGTAGGGTCTGTCAGTAGCCAAAGTAATCAGAAAGTTTAATTTACCCAAGCATATTAAGCAAGCAGGTATTTTAACAATGAGAAAATTATAAACTAAGGGGAAATCATGTTTGCCTCAGGTGGTGTAGCCAAAGATATCACCAGGTATTCCAATACATTTTGAGACTATTTTCCATAGATCATGTGATTTTTTTAAAAAAACAAAGCTCCTGAGCACTATTATAAGCATGGAACAGCTGTAGTTCAAAATACAGGGATGTCAAAAGCACTTGGCTGTATATAAAAATTGCTACCAACTTCATCACCTCAACTGGGTACTCAGGAAGACTGATATATAATGAACCTTAAGATTGAAATACTTAGGCATACTACTCCATAGCCTTAAGACAACCCTCCATCGTAATTCTGATACGCTTAAGTTTGGAACTGTAACTCTTTTCAACCTATTAAGCTCCAATGATTACCATGATCACAAATTCTCCCTCCTAGGTTACCTACACTTCCTGTAGTTGTGGTGTTGTAGTTGAGAGAGATTCTTTGCAAAACCTGGGTCTAACTTTGCTGATCTCTATTATCAAGACTTGGGTTTGTTTCATTATTTATATTTTCACCAGCAGAATTTCACTGCTGATCACTAGATTGGAGCTTATAGGTCAACTGATAAAAGATGTAAAATAATTGACAAGAAATATTCATAAACTAGATGCAAGTACAAACAAAGTACATAAAATGTAATCTCAAGCATCTGTTTACATCATTGTTGTAGATTAAAATGCATTTCTGATTAAAATGCTTCCAAACTAGTTTGATTTGTATTCCCTTTGTTTTATAGTCATTATCATAAAACAGGAACAAGGGAAAAAAGAAGTAGAAGTGGTAGATTATTACTTTGCAAACTCAGTTGCTGCAGTTTTAATAAAATGGTTAAAGTAATATCTACAGAAATGCCCTTCTTTGTGTAAACAATGAAGTCACACCATGATGCTCCACTTACACCCATCTGGCCTTGCACTTGAGCAAAGTAGGCATGAGTCCTTTTCAGTTTACACTGTCCATTGATATCCTCACAAAAGAAATTGGGGTCTTGGCAGGCATCTAGTGGGGTTACTTGAAATTTTGTTTCTGGACATTTTACTTCGGCAAGTCCAAAATGATACCGGCATCCAAAATCGACAACTCTGCCATCTGGTGAGCCCCCCAAAAATGGCATGTCCAGACAAACAACAAACCCGCTCTTGAAAACCTTAACAGGTGTCTTCCGTGTGAACATTACTTTCTCATACTCTTGGATAGCAATTGGTTCATATTTTATGCCATGTTCCACATACCTTGAGGTGAATGGTTTTGGATTAATGAGATCCACTGCAAACTTATCATGGTTCCTTTGCCTTTTTGAGATGAGGTCAAATTTTGAAGCAGTGAATCTGAATTTTCGTTCCTTCTTCCACTGCTCTGAGGATGATTGATCTCTTGTGGCTTCCTCAATATTGTTGATCTTAATTTCATCAACCACAAGAGAACTGATGAGTGCCTTTTCAGACACAGTCAAGTTGTCAGGCCATACAAAATCACTACTCGAGTTTAGCGGGAACCTGGGGTAAGTCAGTTCAGTTTCACCAATGTCATTTCTTGGTACAGATGAAATGTCAATGGTAGCCACAAAGTTTGCCTCAGTATGAGTCAATTGGTAGCTACAAAATGAGCCAATTTGACTTTTGCCAAACTTCGTCTCCACACATTTGCTGAGAGAAGAATCCTCTCTTGCCATTATTGATAAACCCATTTGAGGATTTATTTTCTCAAGAGCCTTTTTCAAGTTCATTTCAGCTTGAAAGTCATGCTCGGGGTTGCATCTTGCATCATATATCAAGCACTTCACTCCATCTCTGCACCTTGCCTCATCTAGTTTAGTCTTAGTAACGGTGACTTCCATTACTGGTTGGGCAGATATTTTGTCCCCTCGACCCTTTTTGTGCCATTTCTGGAGCTGTGAGGTACAGGCAAGATCAGGCAATTCATCATCATCCTGGCACAAATCATCGGTGCTTTTACTGTCAAATAAACTAAACTTGCATGCTTTGAACATCAATGCAAGAACGTGGTTGCAATATCCCACTTTGCCAGCTTTGCATGAGCAGTTGGCATGTGTGACTTGGCCTGAGACAATGCACATAGCAAAACGAAGATCATGGGGAGCTTCACTCTTCTTGAAACTATGAAAGCACTTTGCTTTCAAATAAAAATACCTCTGATCGCTGTTGGCTTCGATTTCTTTCAGGTACTCGTCCTGCAGAAATGTTTTCGCTTTCCTTAAATTCGTCGGAATCGAGTGGTACTCAGCATTTGCGACTCGTTTTCCTGAATTTGCCACGTGCTGATTCATTTCTGCCCTCGTAAAAGACGGCATCCTTTCGAGCGACTTACCCCAGCCATCGCTCGGATATTTCACACTTGATGTGACAGGAGCGGCGCCATTTGGTAGATTCGAAACCCTCGCCTTTCTTTTTGTGTATATTTCATCCGGATCAGGATCGACCACCATAGTATCTCTTCCGTTTTTAATATACTCTTGGACTCTGCAATATAATCAAGAAACATTTTTCAATTTCACGCGTACTCTCAGAATTTATTGTGATCTCGGGAAGCTGTGAACGCGTGCTTACCGTTTTACGAGCTGTGCTTTCGTCTTTAGTCCCTTAAGCGAATCGCCTCGACAACGTAACCAAAATTTGAGCTCTTCATTCTTAAGTGAAGAAGGATTTCTACCAGCCAAAGAAGCTCCAGGAATATCGTCTTCTGTAAGAATCACAGTATCAGTCGAAGCTGTACTAGAGGACGCCATTCTTGTTGTGATCAGTGATCTGTAACCATGGCCTACCAAGCCTCGTTTTCATGCATTCGAAACCAGGTCGTTCCGCGCGGCCGCCATTTATGAATACGGTGTATATTTACATTGATTTAGTACGAAGCAAAGATTAAGATATCTTGCTTTCTGCGGGTGGAAATGCTAAACGTGTTAAATATTTCACAAGCTTTTACGCCATTAGGCATATTAACATAATGTCAGGACTTCTACCTGGATGAACCAAAAAAGATATAAGGATACAAAAAACTGCATATTTTTTTTTCGGCAACGGGTCGAAATGCCAAACGTGTTATATGTCCTTCAAGCGCTCAGGCATGATATAATCGTGATGCCAGGACTTCTACTGGATGAACCAGAAAGGATATAGAACAACTGCCTAATTTTTTTTTTCGGCTACGGGTCGAAATACTAAACGTGTTATGTATCCTAGAAGCGCTCAAGCATAATAGCGGAGCTCCACGCGCGCGCTTCGCGCGCGCGTGGGCGGAGCCCCATAGCTTAGTAAATCTACCCATCCTAGAAAATTTGGTAATCACGTGACCGTACACCGACCGCCGACCGCCGACCGACCGTCCGTCCGCACCACAGGACAACCAATGTTTACTCTCACACTTTTAGCTAGTTTGGGAGCCCAAGAGAAAACTAATTGCACATCAATGTTGTGATCAATTGACAGCTGTCAAAACAGGGCATCCGCTGACCAGTATCACCTGACCGTAGCGCGGGCTCAAGTGTCGACCCATCGAGGTCGAGTATTTTTTTGAAGTTATCCGCTGACAAATTACCAGTTTGAAATGATCGCAGGCTCAAGTTTATTTTTTCCAAGGATTCATATCAAATATGTTGTGTTTATGTCACTATGGCCCCGCACTATTAGGATTTTGATTTCAAACTGACTTCGGAAGCGAAAATTCAGCCAGTTTTTTTAAAAGTACAGGCGGGGAAGACCTTATCTTACCATGGTCACGCGTTGGTCACGCTCTACGTCCAATTTTTATACTCTGATTGGTCAAAATTTGACAGGTGAGTTCATGCGAAAAATTTATGCAGCATCTTGAAAATTGTTTACTTTGACAGCTGAAGCTGAAGAGTTTTGTGTCAACTTGTGGTGTTTTTAACTGTCTTTTTCTTCTAGATGTACAAAATGAAATACAGCTGCTATCAAGAGTCTTCTGTTATTCATGGCTGGTTTGTTTACTGGGTTTTTGATTGAGAAACGCGTCGTCTGTCAAAATTTGGTAATTCAATTTCGGATGGCATCGTTTTCGTTTTTCACCTTGCTTAATGCGTAAGAGGGTTTAAAAGTCTCAAGCAACTGTGGCCTTCCTTGATACCTTTCAGGAACTGAATCTCGAATGGTAAGCCTGAGTAACTATTGTATTTGATGTTTGTTTTTGATGTATCTAATTTCATGAAGTCTTGCACAGTTCACGCTGACAGTTTATGCGGCAAGTTTATGCACGTTTGTAGTCGTAGTTTGAGTCAATGATCTGACCTAGTATCAGGTTTGAACGGTTTGATATACGCTTACAGAACTTTAAAAAGCCTTCAGATATATTTGCTCCCCACAGATAGAAAGAATACGTTCCGAAGAATATTTAGTTATAAATTTGGCTGTAGAAAGAAAACTTTGAGCGATTTTCTTGCTTCGAGGAGTTCACCTTGGAAAACAGTAAACACCCGCGCCGGGAAGCCGGCTTATAAAGCTTCACGCCGAGACTCAGGATTTTTAGAGACACTTTAATACTTGTTTTCATGAATGAAAATTGTTATCTCTGTAAATGTTTCACCGAATTATATTTCTTTTTTTGATTGTTAGTAGTCTCTCTTGCAATTTTAATCCCTTGTCTGTGCCGTTTGTTTTCATCGTTCATGAACATCGCTTGCAGGAGTACTCAAAAATGTCGCGCGTATCAAACGCTTTATAAGATTACACATCGTTAGAACTGAAACCATTAAATAACAAAAAAAAAATAAATTCGCTATTATGTTGAAGCTTAACTCTATTAAAGTTCATTCAAACACTCGACCACACTGACAGCTCGCACTATAGAAACGAGAACCGGCTGGCCATATGGGAGATTTTGGAAATTTTTGAACGGTTTCGCTTTACGATTGATCGTCCTGAATATTGACTGAGTGTAATTTGTCTTGAAAAATTGTGAAATACTGCATTCTATCCAAGGTCTGTATGATAAATAGTACTGTTTCACCTCAAATGTGATGTATAAAAATTATAGAAGGTTGGTTTAAACACCCCCAGATTTGTTGGCAAGAATTTGTAAAGTAAGCCTGTCGAACGCAAAAAATTCGGCGTGATTTGTTTTCCAAGAATTTGTTTTCGAGGCCTAATCTACTGTGATCTTGAATGTGATCGAAGATGTTTGCTATTTTCTGGGTGTACATATAAGGTTATCAATTCGATGTAAGATGTTTCACTCTAAAATAACTTAGCCTTTCCCTCAAAAGTCACATGAATGTGCCCTTAAGTTAAATGATTTGTGGATTAAAAGTTTATTTTTTGATTTAAATTATAAATTTATTAATTGGAGCTTCGCTTTTAGCCCTGGCTAAATCTATATATTAACATCATGCCAGGACTTCTACCTGGATGAACCAGATAGGATATAGAACAACTGCCTATTTTTTTTTCGGCTACGGATCGAAATGCTAACTTACAGCGGAGCTCCACGCGCGCGCGAAGCGCGCTCGTGGGCAGAGCCCCATAGCTAAGGTAATCTACCCATCCCAGAAAATTTGGTAATCACATGACCGTAAATTTTGGGAAGTCTGTGTGCATAATAAGTTTTCTTTTGGCGCGAAAACAAAGGCCACCCGCGTTTTGTGAAGTAAAAACAACTTAGTCCAACGAAATCAACTCAGAACAAAAAGAAATTTATATCCGTATTTTCTACATATTTTATCGACTATGTCCTCTAGTTTGGAATGTAGAGATAGAGAGAGGCAAAGAAAACGAGAAAGTAGGCGGCAAGCAAGCCAAGCTCAACGAGAGCTAGAGCGGCAGAGAGCCAGAGAAAGGAGGCAAAATCTTACTGACAAGCAGCGGGAGAGGGATAGAGAAAGGAGGCGCAATTTAACTGACGAGCACCGCCAGAGGGAGCATGAAAGAGATAGAGAGAGGAGGCGCTATTTTACTGGTGAGCAACGCGAGAGAGAGCAAGAAAGAAACAGGGAAAGGAAGCAGAATTTTAGTGACGAGCAACGAGGGAAAGAGCAAGAAAGAGAAAGGGAAAGGCGACAACATTTCACTGAACAGCAACTGGAGAATGAACGAGAGAGAGCAAGAGAAAATAGACGCCGAATTAGCGACGAGCGGCGAAGAGCGGAACGAGAAGCAGCAAAGCAAAAAAGGCGTCTACTGAACGAAGACGAACGGGAAGGAGAAGGTAAGTGACTATCTTCAAATTTAAACTTGCCTTTTGCCGAGGTTAGCATTGTAAATATGTATCGGATGCCAGGCGTTGTGGCTTTTGCGAAATTCCTTTTTTTCAAAAAAGCTTACCGTGGAACGTCAGTTGCAGCTTTGTTTGTTTAATCAATAACCTCTTCGTGATCAGGACCAACCACACGTCAATTGTTGTCACGCAGCGTTGAGTAGAGTATAAGCATAAAGTGCTCCTCGATTTACTTCGTTCTTTCTGATGTTGAAAACAAGGGAATCTTAAATGTGCAAGTTATGTAATTCCATCGGAAAGTTTCAGCATTGTTATTTTTTTCTGTCCTATCCGATCGTGCAATGAATCGCTGAATGAATTAATGTAAATTCCTCTTGTGACAGTTGTTTGTCATTCGTGTAAGCTTATGTAAGCTTGAATCCCGGTCTTAAATTTATTCAGTGTCAGGACGCTAAAACGGAGGTACGCTAGTTGTAGTTTTGTTTGTTTAATCAATAACCTCTTCGTGATTGCATCAGCTTTTATGACCATACCACACGTCTCTTGTCACGCAGCGATGAAATTTAATTTCGCTTGAACGAGATAAGCTTAAAGAGCTCCATGATGTATTTTCGTTCTTTCTGGGGCGGAAAATAAGGTAATCTTAAATGTGCAAGTTATGTAATTTCATCGAAAAGTATAACCATTGCCATTTTTTTATCCTATCTGACCGTGCAATGAATCATTGAATGAATGTAAACTCCTCTTTATGACTGATTTTTGTCATTCCTGTAAGCTAATGTAAGCTAAAATTCCGAACTTAAATTTATTCAGTGTTAGATGATCTTAAATTAAAGGCCTGTGAAAGCGTTGTTATGTTTCTTTAAAGTCTATGGGATGTCACTGTTTCTTCTTTGTATGCTCGGCGGTCTTCAGCTTCAATTTGAAGATGTTTTGCGCTGCCTTTTGCCTGGTTTTTCCAATGCCTGTGTAAAGAGCTCATTTGATGCAGATTGTTCGGGTTCACTTCTATTTATTTTATTTAGGGTGTTTTAACAAAATCTCAAAGATTTATTCTCCCTCTCGAATTGAAATAGCTATTCCTTTAAGGCTTTGCCATTTTGTAGATTCCTATCTTCGAGTGTGTAAGAATAATTCTATGTAAATAAGGAGGTCATTCGAGCCAGTGCTCGAAATGAATTTTGAACGGTGCGGGTCATGTTGACAGACCAAACAAATTTTAACTCGGACCGATCAAAATACATTAAAGACTCGCGCGTAAGAAACCGCAATTCCTTTGCTTGAAGAGATTCTTGCAAAAATATTTATTTGCAAAAAAAAATTTGGGTATTTTTCTAAAATATATAAAATATATGGAATTTTCTTATATAGATTAAAGGAAATTTGAACTGGCTCAAATATATGTAGGATAAACAGGTCTTGTATAGAGGGGGCCTAACTGGCAAATTTAGCTAGGTTCTTAGTCGCTAGTTTGTACTGTATTGAAAATGTCGTACTTTGCAAAAATAGCCAAATTAAGACACAAATATCCCCAATAAATGTTCAAAAACATCTTTTATT